GATTACTAGTAAAACAATACAAACACAAAATTTTGTGTTTATCTATAATGTCTTAAATATCACATTAAGTGATAACCATGTTTTGGATACTACAGTTCAATTATTTCAACAATACCTTTTCAATTTTCGTTTAATTTACAAAATGTAATAAATACTATAATCAATTCTCAATTAATTCACATTCACATTCATTTAATTATTATTAATTAGAATTTCAGATTCACATTCAGTCCGTATTATTAATTCTCAATTAATTAATATTCACATTCATTTAATTATTGTTAATTAGAATTTCAAGTTTATATTTAATTCATTAGTCATGTTCGTGTATGTTAATTAACATGGCGTTTACTTAATTGGAAATTAAATTATATTCATTTAATATAAATTATTTAACATTCATTGTCACGTATACATTCTTTGGTATTTGATATGGTCATTTTTTTATCATCCCCGAACAACAATGCCCGAAGTTGTTTTCAGTCATGTTGGGAGTTTGCTCAAAGTGTCATCAAGTTCCTTTGTCAGGCTTAATTGCCACACGTGACGATTCTATGTCACTTCGGGTTTTTATCTTTGTCCACTTCTCTATTTCAAAAGACATACCCTAGTAGGAGTCTACTTTCATCATCGCACTTATCCAACTCCAATAAAATTGGATCATAACTAGCTTACAACTCCTTATATTAAAATATTCAAGTATTTTACATCTCTTAAATAGATAAGGTTTCAAGTATCCTAATCTTGTAAAGAATGTGCTACTTACCTTTATAAATACAGGTCCTAATTCATTATTCAACTATATTTTACATTCAATTTATAGTCTTACACTTATATTTTCCCCTTTCGCTAACTTAAGCATAGGAGGGGCGACAGGATATACCTCAACGCCTTTGTTTCAGGTACTGAAGATTTCGTTCGTGATCATCCTCAATCGTCAAGCTTGAGAGTCGACAGGTAACGATTTTTGGTAACATCATGGTTCCATCTGCGGGAAACAGTTACGGTTAACTACAAGGAAAACACATGAGAAAAAGCCGACCGAA